TCATTGTGTCCGTCTTCGCCAAGAAAAAACACAATGCCATAACAAAGTTAGTCACTCAACAGCAACGAGAAAGAAACTAAAAATGTAAAAAAATAAAAAACAAAACAAAAGAAAGAGAAAAAATAATGTTAGAATTGTTTTTCAAATTGTCATAACTGAAATTGGCTGGGATTTTGTTTAACTTTATTTTTTATTATATCAAATACTTTCTTAAACCCAATTTAAGTTCGAGGCTAAATATTATATATGTAGGACAAGTCGCTTCATTCATTCATGACATAATCAATTATTCATAATTTCCATTTTATTCCAAAACATACTAAAATATTCAGATTATCTTCCGCTTCAACACCTAAATTATGCATTTAGTCGTCTCTGCCGGCAACCGCAAGCAAACCAGAGAAGCCTCAAAAGCTGAATTTCAGCTTGAATGAAATTTAATGAAAACATTTTAGTAATTATTCGCTTTTTAAACTCAAGCAATTCAACTGGGGTGAATTTTACTTACGCAAGAATTTTGAAATAAAAAATAGTTCATAATTTTACCCTCGTCAAATGGGTCCATAAGCTGTTCGACCTTGGTAGAAGAGACATAATTGATCTCTTGGAGTTTAGGCACAGGGCCGACGTAGACAAATGAGATGCAAAATGTGTACTTGGCTCTCATTTGCATATCTCAAAAGGTTGACAAGAAACATGTCTTTTGTGAGACGTCTTAGTATACATCAGACAAATGGAGACGGAAAAGTGGCAGACCTAACTGCTGCTAACTGCTGACTCGTTACTAAGTTACAAAAGAAGTTTTGCTACGAGCGCCGGGCAGGCAAAGAAAAAAAAATTGGATAAATTATTTGAACAGCATTCAATTTGTGGCAGAGGCCGCCGTCGCACATGAAATGCAAACACGAAACGTAAACAGAAAAATTTTCGGCTTTGCCTGTGTGAAAAGGCCAAATGCAAGCGCTCTGGCCGGCTGGCAGTAAAAGAACGTCCAGAACTTTGGCTTTCAGCTCATATTTTATTCAGCTGGAACGAAGGACCACACAAGTGACTCCTTCGCCTGTGGCCCAGCTTTGGCTTTGGCTACATCCGCGAAATTCCCGACTAACAAACTTCTGCAGCTGAGCTGAGCTCTTGCCATTTTGTGTCTTTTATTCTTTTTCGCTGTCAAGAATTTTTTACTCTGCTACGTTGAAAGTGAAAAAGTGATGGAAATAAAGTGCAAGTTTACAGGCCGTCATCTCTGAGAGGCTGTCTGTTTTATTTTTAATTTGCATATCCTTGGGAGTAGGCACACTAACCCAGCCATCAGCTTAAGCACATAAGCTGTGCTCTTAATTAACGTAAAAGCCCTTACAAATGTTTTAATTGTTATACTGTAAGTCGCATTAACTAGACATGTTTTCAGCTATCTGCATATTTAAATGGCTACATGAAAACTAAGAAATAAAAATATGATATAACAAAATCGAAATCTATAAAACATTTAAATATGTTTTCACTTTTTGCAAGCCAGAATCAAAAAATTTTTTGTTACATAAATTAAACATTCATGAGGCGAAAGCGTCTGTGTCGACGCTGAAAAGTATGCTTTAAAATAACTATATGCGCTTCATATATGAAATATTTATTACAGTTTATTAGACTTTGCATTCTACAGCCTATCTATGCCACCGTGCTATCTTAATCGCCCAGGGAAGGTCACAATCGATTTAATGGTGCGGTCATGCGAAAACTGAAAAAAAAAAAATTCTTAACAATACTTCCGTGTATGCCAATCCCTGTTTACTTTCCGTCTCCTGCTCCTTTTTTTTGTATTATCTAGAAGTTTGACAAAGGAAAGGAAATTATCATAAGTTTCGTAGCTCAAGGGGCGGTAGTCGCTTTAAAAGTACTTATGCAAAAACAAACACACACACACACACACTCAGAAGCACACGCACGTGTGTGGGAAAGTATTTTATGAATTATCGATTTTCATTTAAGAGCATATTTAAGGGCCCTATGTGAGATTGGGAGACAATAGCAACAAGAACTACTACTATGCGTTGACTTTTGCTGTTGACGTAATGAAATTCCTTAAAGGTATTTTGCCAGATTCTCTCTCTCTCCCTCTCCCTCTCCCTCTCCCTCTCAGTGTCTCTGGCTGGATGCTCGGACAAGATATGCTTGTCATTCGACAGTATGTTCGAGGTTATGTTCGACGTCCAGCATGGCACGCACAGTTGGACACACTATGAGAGGAGCTAAATGCTGATACAGAAATTAATGTAATTAACACAGCGTGTTGTAGGCACAAGTCGAGCTCGGCAGCACTCGACAGACACCCACTGCCACTTAAGGCTAAGTAGCTGATGACGTCGCCTAACGCCCATCAGCAGACATGCAACACATTTCACATTTCACATTTCGCATTTTGAGGGATTGACGCCCAATAGGAGTTGCAGCACATTGCGTTCTGCGGTGGGCAAAAATGCTGAGGTTGACATCACGCAATGGGCACAATCAGAGCACATGCAACCGAAAGTAATTACTGCGACATGTGGCACGCAGGTGGACCAAATGAAGTCAAACTGCTCCTAAACCTGACTAATGGAGTGTGGAACACAAAGCGTGACGGTGCAAGTATCTTGATTGTCACAAATTAATTAATAATGCCTGTAACATTTACTTTAATTAGATTGCGACAAGGAGTGTGGAATGGGCGTGGGCTTACACACATTTCGAGTAGTTCGTGATGGACATGAAAGACCTATGTCAGCATTATAAATGACTTGAACAGAGCTGCTAGCTACTCAAAGTGTAACTTAATTGGTAAGCCAACAAATTGGACTCTAGTTACGCAGCAGCTATTTATGAGCAAATTTTAATTAACCAAAGTGTAAATACTAAACTTTTGACTTGAATATTGTAACGTCTCAGATGCATTTGATCTACAAGTTTAGAAAATTCTCGAATATATTATTGCAGCAGCTAAGCCTCAACTTGATATTTATTTTGAATTTTACAGGCATAAAATAGTTTCTGAAACGAATGCGGACTGTAATAAAGTATTTTAAAAGATTTACGAAATTACGCAAATAAATCCTCTTGGCGAAAAGTATTTATTTAATGCATTTTACCTCGTTTGCTGTTGGCTCGATAAAAAATAAGCCAGTAGTTAAAGTAAAGCCATATTAAATTTGTATATTTGCAGGGCTTTCACAGCACTCGCCTGTACTTGCCAGCTGATTACCACCCAATGCCACTTTGCTGCTCCGGTGCGCCTGTTGTTGCCGTGTTTGTTGTTGTTGGCGAACAATAAATATTGATTACGATGGTGTTTGAAATTGTTGTGGGTTTATTTGGCTGAGATGGCTGGCTTAATGTTCCGTTGAAATTCTAATTTATAAACCAATTAGCAGCCAAAGCTCATAGCGCAGCCATAAATTTTCGCTGGCAACAAATTTAATCAAACAGCTCGCTGCTCGAGCTGGCGTTGTCTTCTTCGCATAGTTCCTGGCTCTGGCACTTACATCCTTAGACTCCGGGGAGGCGTGGGCTTACTTCCAACTAAATATCATTCACGCTCCGTTAATTCGAATCCTTGCAAAAATTAACTAATCGCACAAAACGTTCTCCACTCGGCAAAGCATTTGGATTGCCCGCTTAACACTGATTCGCATACTTAGTATGATTATCTGGGCCAATGTAATAATCTGAGCTCAATATTTTGGGAAACTTGCTCTGCGACGACAGCTAATACCCCAATAGAATTTTCACGAAATGAGAGCAGCTAATTATCGCTAGTAAGCCCTTCACCAATGCCAAACGGGAATGAAACTTCAATGTTGATTTTCAGTTAGTATTTTATTTATGAACTATTAATTTATTTAAAACGAAACATACAAAAGGTACAATACATAATTGGAAACAAATCAAGTTATAGCCAAATTATATTCACAGTTTTTAATAGTAGTAGAAACTTTATTCTATGCTCTGGTTTCCACTAACAATTTCCATATTACTTATATAACATTGTGTATTTGGGATGCCGTACCTAGGCGTACGATGGCAATCACACACATTGGGTCTTTAATTATTATTAGGCCAGTATGTATGCATGTGTTTATATAATGTTTTATTCCTACAAAGATTTTTGTTTTTGTTTTGTTCTTTTACATTTATTATATATTACCAAGTGTCCCGAAATTGTACGCACTCGCGTTGACTTTCTATTCATGCTAATCATAATGCATTTAGCCGAGCCCGTTTTATAAATTTTGCCGTAACACGAATATTGTATGTACATTTAATTAATAACCTCTCTATTGTGAGCATACGTTAATTGGTTTTTGGTAATTGAGTTACTCCAATACTATCTTATTCTATTCCGAACCGCAGGCCCACACACCACAGAGGCCCAAAAGAACAATACCAACCAAAAACCCAATGCTAACAGTATTCCAGTTAGCAAAGTGAATTTTGTTGTTTTGTTTTTGTTTTCGCTTAAAGGTTTGGTCCGTTTGGATGCAACTGTACTTTGGTTGTGGCCAGTCGTTCGTTCTATTTGTTTTTGTTTGCTTAATTTTGTTCAATTTTCCAGAATGTTGTCCTTATATATCTTATATACATTTGGCTAATTGGGGGACGAGTGACTATTTTAGAACGTGAACCGTTTCGTATTTGGACTATAGATGTATACACATATATGTAAATATACTTAGATATATATTTAGTAGTAGTAGTGGTATTTAGTACTGCTTATATACACGTTGATTGGATGCTCTCCAATTTATATAGACGTACTCACTTAGTTACTAATTAGGAAGGCACTTGACATTTAAAACAATAACGTCAACTTTAACAAAGAGATGAGAAACGACTAGAAACGACAAAAACTCAAAACAATTTTACATAAACATATCCATATGGCACATGTAGTAAGTGCTACATAAATATATATAGATCTGCAAATGGAAAATACAGAAGTCAACGACTATTTCTTAAAATATTGTCTGCAGTAGCATTTCCATTTCCCTTCACTTTCAGACACACTCAGAGGCATTCAAACACACTCGCACACAACTAAATATATATACACATTTTGCTAGTTAGGCACTGCTGTCAGACCATCCTCCTCCAAGGTAAGGACCTTGGCACGCAGGAGTAATTCATTAGCCCGCTGGCCAGAAGTTTCCCATGCCCCATAGGTAAAGCTATTCCTAGCCGGATATTAATTACGCTCATCCATTTGTAGGGCATTAATCCGAAATACACAGCACTGAATTATGCAGACAACACAGCCGAAATCGCTCATACGACAAGTTGTACGGCGTGACTGAGTTATGATGCCGCCTCTTGCTACAAACCTATTCGCTGTGATAAGCCGCCCAATAAAGCGTTTATGAGGCTCGTCGTTCTAAACAAAGCACATACATCCATGCACACACACTCATAAGCAAGCACAAACACACACACAGTACAAAATATATATATCTCTCTCTCTTTCTCTCTCGCTCTGCTTTTGGCTTGTTCAACACACATCCCGCTGTCGCATTCTCATAGGTGCGGACAATTATGAAGATTCCTTTTGGTACGGAAATGGGAATATCGTGAAATTTATGAGGGTGTGTGTGAGTACACACACCCATACACACACATGCACGCAGATACACATGAATAGAAGTATGAACATATTTGGAGCTCGCTTCCTCTCCCAGCGCTGAGCACAGACAACCCATTAGTTGAGCCTTTGCAGGAGGACTTTGGGAGTTTTGCTGTTCCTTTCGCATCCTTGATGTATGTGTGCTGTAATATTTGCTGTGCTTGGGCTTGTTGGCGCTGTGTCTGTGTATTCATGGCATTTGTGCGCTTTTATTTATGCGTGCGTTTACATTATTGATAACATTAAATGAGCTTCACGCAATTTGTTTTCATTTGTATGGTTGAACCGCATAATTTAATGATGTTGGCGATGGCGATGCCGATGCCGATGCCAATGCGAATTTCGATGCCAATGCCAATGCTAATGCCAATACCATTACAAATGCATATGTTTCTTGACTGCTCATATGAGCTCCAACTAACTAACGAGTAATTAGTTTTGGTTGCCATGACAACGATTGCATAATTAAAGTGTTGTGAAAAAAGCAATTAAGGAAGTGAAATCAAGTTGTACACAAAGTATTTACACATGAATATAGAATCACGTATGTAGTTATATCATATATCATTCACTCAGGCAGTCAGCCACTCACACACTGGAGAGCTCTGTGCAGACAAATGTTTAACCTACAAATTGCGGTAGCCTAAATTTTCTATTTGATGGCGCCTACTGTGTACTGACCTAGGACTGTGCAAGTATGCGTATTTGTCCGCTCCACTCATTAGTAATTTACAGTTACAGTTACAGTTACAGGAAGCTCGTCCATTTAAGTACATTTATGTATACATATATATTTTAAAAACAGATGCCAACATTTGTTGCGGCGACTCCAAGAGCCATCTACTCCGTACACACCTGTTGTTGTTGTTGTTTCCGACTCTGGGAGGAGGGCTCTGAGCTTAGGTCGTTCCCCTGTAGATTTGTATTGTCGTTTATGCTAGCAGCGTCCAAGGGTACTTTTGCCCCATTGTCGGCTTGTGGCTAGGGTCCGGATGCCGGCACATGAGCTGCGTCTGGATCGGAGGTCGCCAGAGACTCTGCTTGAGCACCTGACCCACTCTGCTTGGTAGAACTCTGGACGTTCGGGGAGGTCACGTTGATGGCCGTGGTATATACGTGAGGCTCGCAGTCCGCAGTGGTTGGTCATCCGTAATAGAATTGTGAGCTCACCGGTAAGCCAGTTGAAAGTGTACGTGGAGCTGTGCCGTCATATGATAGCTGCGGATGTAACATAGCCGCTGCGGCGGGCTTTGTGCGACGCAACGTTGACGTGCCAGCGGCTGGCAGATGACTTAATGTTGCCATCGCCAGAGGCGAGGTGGTCGGCGTCTGTTGTGTCTGTGGATGAGCCGGGGAGCCGCTAGCCAAGGAGGACGGTGGCGTCGGCGTGTTGGCCGGTCGCTGAACAACACCCATGCCCTCCGTATTTATGAGGTACCCGCCGCGAATGGTGGGCGCCGTTGTATACTGGGCCAGTGACGTTAGGGGCACCATGGTGTCTGCAAGCACACGAATCGAAAAGTTGACGAAGCGTGCCCCAACAAGCGAGCCCAACTAGCAGCGAGCTGAGGCTAATGAAGATACTTACTAATGCCACTGCTACCAGGCAAAGCGCCGCCAGGGCCATTCGCGCCAATTACAATGGCCGGTGCCAGGATGCCTGTCATGGGGCCCTGTGCTGCAGATGCGCTGCCCGCACTGCTGGTAGCCACATATGTGCTGGGCGCAATGCCTATGAGATCGGGTGACTGGCGTGCGCCTATTAACAGGGGATTGGGTATCAAAGCGGGGGCCGCGCAGGGTCCGCCAACGGAGGACAACTGGCTGGGCGCTAGACTGGCATACAAGCTGCTGGCCGGCGCGTAAGTGATGTAGTTCTGCAGTGTTCAACGACAGATGATAGATGATAGATGGCATTGGCCAAGGGTTAGGGATGAGTAATGTTACCCACCTCGTTCTTTGACACGCTGGGCAATGGTATCGAAGTGGTAAGGTCAATGTCGGCGTCTATCTCGGAAATAGTGTCGTTAAAGCCGCTTGGAATGGTCGTTTCATCGCCCAGGCCGCCGCTCGTGCCCCCCTTGGTGGAGGAGTTCGAGTGGGTGTCACTGGCCATGCGTCGCTTTTGCAGCAACAGGCGCGCTACCACAATCACAATGGAGCAGAGCACACCGACCAGCCCGACAATTAACAGATACAAATAGAGTCGCTGCTGGTCATCTGTGAAATGAGAAAATCTTTTAAATTAACAAATGCAGAAATTTAAATTCGACGAGCTCACTTGAGCCAAGGATTTTCATAATAATAGCAACATAAGCCCGCTCCATTTCATTTTAAAATTTCTGTTGAATTTCATGTCGTCTTTGTTTGAGAATAAGATCTGGCAAGGCATTCGTAAAATGTTTGCGTGGCCCTTACAGACAGTGATTCCTTGTGGGATTACGCCTACATTGCGGACTGTTTTTCAAAGAGCCGCACCCAGACTCCGCCCCACTTACAGGCGGGGTCTGTGGACCGACTTGTGACTTGTATTTTCTATTACTGCCCAGTGTAACGCAATGTGACATTCGGGTCAAGTCGGAAGAGACTTACCCTCTAGACTTAAGTCGGCACTGTGTGTCATCACCGGATTGACGCCACTTCCATCCGCATCAGCGTCCAGCGAGCCGTTGGTTGCGGTGTGAATGCCCTCTGGATTGGAGTTGGCAGCGCGTCCCGCGCCGCCAGTTGCGTTGCCTCGTGATGTTTTGGTGGTATTGCTGTATAGTTTGGGTATAGCCTCTGACTCCTTGTAGATGAGCTCATCGTCGTACAGGTCGTTGATGTCGCCCTCGAAGTCCTCCGTTTCGTCAGCCTCCACCTCAGACTCGTTGCTCTCCTTTAACACTTGCTTCGGCACTAGGGAACAAAGACATAGAACAACCAAACGAGCAACATAAATCATGCGGCCAAGTCACCGGTAACGGAGGGTCGGACGCCAAGCACCGGGCATCAATCTTGTGCCACGACGCGCGGTACGATGGGATGCGATGTGATGGAAGGCGACTCTACGCTACGCGATGCGATGCAATGCGATGAGATGCGCTAACAAAGGCGCGCCCTAAATCATTCTGAGTGGCAGAGGCAAACGCCCCTTGATTTTGCCCACGACCTACTTACCGCATGTGTAAACAACCTTCAGATACATTCGCGAGTTTGGCTGGCACGGAGTCCCAAAGGTATTCGCATCCGCGGCCAGATTGCACCGCCTTCGGCCATGGCAAATTTGCATCACAGTCTCCGTGGCGAATGAGGCGAGGCATGCTATTAAAGGCCAGAGATAGAAAAAGTAGTTAGAGCGCGGGCAAGCCACGGATCAGGCTGTCTTGATTGATGCAATCCACAGCTCAAGCACTGCCAGGCCACCATCTCCCCAATACTCACTCTCCTCACGGACCCCTTGCGGCTGTGGACACTGAATGCTCTCGTACTCAGTACGTCCAAAGCTGGCGCTGTAGACGGCGATGCGCGAGTACGGGTTGCATTCCAATTGTGCGACATCGTTGTGGCAGGCAACCTTGCTGCGGAATTCATCTGCAAAACGAAACGAAGGCAACAGACTCCTCTATATTTATGAAGTATAGTGTGTAATTTTATTTAATCAGAAAAGCTAATTCCTTTCTAAGGAACTGCGTTTCCCCGGGAATTGTATATCCAATGATTGAGATAATCAATGACTCGGATCTTTGTAATTGGAAGTCACGAGCTCCGACAGTTCAGTCAGACAGTTCATGCTGGGCGCCTCATTACGGCACCGCCAACAATGCTGAATTCCAAATGTATATATGTATGTGCATATTCGATAATGGGACACAGCATTTGCCGAAACTTGAAGCTCCCCAGTCCCAGTCCCCATTCGAGCTGGGGGCCATGCGCCAAGTACGGCGCGGAAACTTAATTTTGTACCGTCGATGTTTTTCAAGTTATACAAAGCACGTGCAAATGCGATTGGACTGGTACTGCCACAAGGCAATGCCTCCGTTGGCAGCGTTCCTACCGGTTCGATACGCTTCCTTGCCCCGCGGTTGCTGGACACGCCCTGGGACGCCAAAGCCCGCCAACTGCTGTTTAGTGCTAGTCAATGCCCGCCCGTGTGCCATCGCTCCATTCCACCTGACTGAATTTTTGGAACGCACAACAACTCCGTAAAATGGCTGTCTGGATGGTAGTGCCCCATGCCTCGCCTCCGTGTTCGTGTCCTTGTTCGTGTCCATATCCGTGTCCGTGTCCGTGTCCGTGCCTTTGCCTGTAATAGTATTTGTTTGGCAAAACATCGGCACTGTGTGCTTTCGGGTCATGCCCTAGGACGAGGACTTTTTACTACACACACACACACACATACACACATGGCTGGGCCCAGTCCCAGTCCAATCGAAAAGCCAAAGTCCGGATGCAGCCAACTCTCGTTCAACTCATTCGGCTGGACGTTTATGTGTCGATTCCGGCAGTCGAGATTGTTCAGCTCAGTTTGGCCTGTTGTTATGCTGTACAGTGGGACGGACTGTGGGACTGCTGGACTGTTGGACTGTTGGACTGTGCGGAATTTGTTAGCCATTTTACGTGTGCCATTGTACGCCCAATAAATTCAACCAAATTAAACAAAACTTGCGCTGCAGCTGCTGACTGACTTACATGGGCGACATTTGTAGGCGATCTCGACGATTTTCCGGCGCTTGGGGCAGGGGTCGCTGCTGATTGCATTCGAGCTGGCCGTGCTGCTGTGATAGCTGCTGGTGCCGGACGAGTCGCCCACTCCGCTGGCGCCCAGTCCGTAGAACTGCGGGGAGCCGTGGAACTTGCAGTGCTTCTTCTTCTGGCAGGCTTCCACAACCGTCTGCAGCAGCGAATACTGTAAGCGGAGAACAAAGGTGGGTGAGAACAGAACGAAAAATCAGTTGCAATTTAGTTTTCCAATTTTATTTCCTTCGTTATTTATTTTTCATTCGTTTATTTTGCTCTCCTCTTTTTTTTTTACTTGTCGTACTTGTCGCACTGGCGTGCAAACAGAAAGAGCTGAAAAGTGAACGAGTCCAGGAATTGGCCGGAAATTGTAAACTTTTACAAATTGAAATAAAATATTTGCATTAAATATGTAATTGAAGTGTTTCCACTTGTGTTTGACTTTTTCGCTCTCTAAATATATTATGATTTTAAGATAGAAGTCGATAAGGGGCGGTGCCATCGATGGAAAAGTGCAATCAGCTGATGCAATGTATGTAAAGTTCCCTTCCCATTACTGCTCTACTTTTAATGAATAGCCCAGGCACTTTATGGACTTTTATGATGTTTGATACCACGCTGGATTGAAGATAGCGAAACATGGTTGATCCATTTGTTATGACCATTATGTGCAAACAAGTTGTTGTCCATCATCTGCATGGCATCTATTCAATCAACAGCTGCATTGTCTCCTGACTATTAGCAATTTTTTCATCGTTCTATTTAGCGTTTCAGCCAGCTGACAGGCACGTCCAGTGTCAGGCCAGCACAAAAAATGGCCACGTCTAGCTGCGTATAGCGCACAACTGGTGCCTGGTAATCCGTAGCGTGAATGTAAACTGTTTATTTTCAAGTTATTTTTCACTATCTTGTGTTGACAGCGCCGAGAGGATGATGAGCATGGGTGGACAGGCGGACAGACGGACAGACGGACAGGCAGACAGACGGATGGAGAGGCGAATAGATGGGCCCTACAACGGCAGACTGACAGCAGGTTTAGATTTGCTTGGCAGCCTCAGTCGCTGGGCGAGTCGTCACAAAATTTAATAACAACGACAGCGACAGTGACAACACCCTGAGGACCGGATGCGACAGAGAGTGAGCGAGGGAGAGATACTAAAACAGCGAGCGATGAACAACAAAAACAGCTCTTTGAACAATGGCTGGAAAATGGAGACAAAAACGATGCGAGAAATTATTTGCTGTGGTAGCCATTTTTAGCGCCATGTTGGCGCTGCTGCTGCGGCTGCTGCTGCTGAGCAGAAAGTTTTGGGCTTGCTGGGTCGACCCGGCCCAGCCTAATGATGCCCCATGGGACGTGAAGGCATCTTGGCCAGCACAGCGGGCTGGCCGACAGGCCAGACAGCGCATTGACTTTGCCTGACACAAAGGCAACTTTTGGCCTTCGTCAATGTTTTTCGTAGCGTTTCTCAGCGGTTCGTCTGCTACTCATTTTGTAGCTCCCACTGTCAGATGTAACAGAAGAACATTAAAAACGGAATCAAATGAAATGAAATGAAATGAATCCAACTGTCTGTCTCGTATTGTTTTCTATGTTGTTGAGTTTGCTTGAAATTTAAATTCATTTTGGGTTCAAAGGATGCCTTCAATTATTGGAGAAGCCAACTGAATTGCTTAATGAATTGGAAGCGTAATTCGGAATGTGGACAAACGAATTTCCTTATCCTTTTTCTGCTTAAAAAGAAGAAAGCAAGTGGAATTTAAAACGGCATTCAGTTAACTGTTCAACGTTAGCTAAATGAATTTCGACATGGCGATGAATTCCGTCTTCAGAACGACTCAAGCACTCTCAGCTCGATGATATTCTTTGTAATTCTATCTCAATTGCACTTATACTTTTTTCATATATTTTAGATTCAAGTGCTTACAATTTAGCTCACTTAAGAAACCATTCTCCGTTTTTTTATAGACAAGTGAAACTTTCCATTGAAGCTCTTAAATTGTTGCCCTGTTCGGAATTGACTTCTCTCGCTAAGGTGTGTCTCTGGCTTTGTCGGCACTTACCTGAAGAGCATTTGGCCACATGCAGTTCTCGGAAGAGCTTTCGCTCTTTTGAGCATCGTCCGCCGATGACTCGGTAATCGGTCCATTCGGTCCGCTAGTGCTACTTGGAGCTTCCATGGCAATGGCGTAGCCGTTGCTTACGTAGCGATTCGCGGGCACCTTTTGTGTGGTGGATCCGAAGATGGAGCCACGCAGCAAGTGCTTGGCCTTGCCACGTATTTCGGGCTTCACGGTGCCGGTGACGGGGCACAGCTCCTCAATGCTGTAGCCATCTGAACAAGGGGAGGTTGAATAAAGCACGAAATGGCAGACGTGTTAAGAATAAATGACCCGGGGATGGCCCACCAGAGAGAGGCCCCCGAGGCAGGCAGACAGAGAGCAAGCGCAACACTTACCTTTCGCCACGAACTTGTTGTACTGGGCAAATTCAATTGAAATGCTGGTGCCGCGCGGGCACGCAATTACCACCTGATCCGTATCACAGGCCGCCTTCTGATATGTGCGCAGTGTGGCCGATAAAAGAGCTGTTGGCGATACGTGGCGTGCGGAGCGGGCGGTTGTTAAACAGCGGAGTTTCCATTGCCATTAAGCGGGACACATGAAAAGCAGGAGATGAAAAATAGCATGAAAATAATTGATTGCGCCTATAATTAATTAAAATTTAATTAATCTATTATACATATATCGCACTACACTGCCAGCACTGATAAAGATATTCAATTAAATGAAGTCAACTCGCTTTAAACTGATCGCAGAATGCAATTTATTATGAAATTCCACAAAGAGCGCGACCGCAGGGCTCTATACATATTAAATAGCAGACTAAATTAAAACAGACAGCGGAGCTCAGCATTTTTCACGAGTTGCAGCTAACTAGAGTCCATGCTGCGAACAAACACCTGAGCTAACAGCACTCGGTCCTGGTGTCCTGACGCCTGCAAAGGAAAACAGCTCAAGCAGGAGACAGGAGCCAGGAGCCAGGAGCCAGGAGCCTTCAAGTAGCTGAAGCAATGTTCTAGGCGTGGCTAGAGCTTGGCGTTAAAATGTGTTTCCGCACTTCAAGCAGGCGGCAAGTGCACATTTTTAGCGCTCTAGAGTTCCACTGCTTCCTCAAGGGAGCTGCATGCCAAATTATACGAAATTCTTGGTAAATATTTTGCTCGCTTCGCTTCGGTTGTTTATACTCTTGCCTAAAGCAACAACCTCATTTTAGATGAGCTAAAACAAGTATATATGTGTGGTCAGTAAACTGCTGCACATACATCATTGTATATGTACATGTATCTAATATAAAGCAACTTGATGTAGGTCATGTAATTGGCGCTTAGCTTTCAATTAAATTGCTGCAATAAATCAATTTCCGACAATTTGCCATAATGTTTCAACTACCTAAATGAAATCGACAATTTATCAGCTGAGCAATTTAAATACCAAAACTTTAGTATGTATAAATCGGTATATATATATACACGTACATATATATACATATATAAATATATGGTTAACCGGGGCGTTGTCTAGTTGGGTCTCGGACATGAAATATAATTTAGCCGTTACCGTTCATTGCTCGCTGGGGCATTTCGCCTCTAATGAGTTTGGGCGCCGCGCGTGCGAATTGGTTTTGTTTTTGATGACTGCCCATAGCGTGGGCGTGACGGCCAGCACGAGGAAGTGGGGATGCGAGCAAGACTCTGAGATTGAGGATATTGCAGTCCAATGCGAATTGCCGACCAACCAACTACTACCAACAGCCCACTGTCGACTGTCCACTGCCGACTGCCGACTGATTTATACTGCGAGCCATAAATTATATTTAAATGGCGCGTTCTCGCTTCTGGCAACATGAGCCGAGCGTACCGCAGCTTGTAATTATTTCTAGATAGAGTATATGGTGTCTACATATATATATATATATATATGTAATAAATACGCTGGCTGGCCCTTGACCAAATCGCCAAATGGCAGGGCACCGCCCCGTGACAATAAATTTCGTGTCCACAGCTTGACCGCCCCATCGCCTATCGCACGGATGCAAGTGGGCCACATTAGTGGGCCAGTTAGATAATGCCGTTTAGTGGAACAGAGAGCTCTTCTCGGTTTAGCTCGTCTAATCTTTGCCATGTGCACAAAATTTAATAATTTTTAGATTATTCACATGCGCATTGCCATTGGCATCGCCCGCAGCACTTGCTGTTCATATCTCTGATATTGTACACTTGTGCCAGCTGGCGGTACATTAATTTAATTGTTATGGCTTTACAGCTGGTGTTCTGGTCTAGGGGGAACTTTCAAACGGTTCCGCTAGTCCTTGGCTCAATGTGTTGGCCGTTGCCGGTCGGAAGCGAAAGTCTCTGAAGTTTTTATTGGTGCCATTTGACTTCGGCAATCGAATCACTTTGGCATGGAGCGAATCCAAAAAGAAAAAAAAAATTAAGCAGAATGAAAAAGCTTCCTTTTGCGCTCGGCCATAAAATCCAGCCCGACTTCGTAAAACCATGACCAGCAGTGTTGAAAACTTTACCTTTTAAAGTGAAAGTATTTTCAGCGGGTTGCTCAAATTGAAAATACAATAATAAAAATAAAAAAAAGTGAGAGTCCTTTTGACCTTGCGGTACGCCCCCGGAACAGTCATTCAATACATATGTATATATATGTTTATATATTCTATATATAATGTATATTGTATACTCTGGTCTCCATTTGCAGACCAGTAGTTGCAGGATGATGGCGCATTTTTTGGGGAAACTTTTTATTTGATTCGAAATTGAAAGCGCTCCAGACAGATGCCGGTAGCTGCTGCGCTTAAAGCCCGTCCGACGTTTTACGAGCCTCCCGGACGGAGTGAAGTGACGGAAAACTGTCGGCCATGAAATGTGTGCTCCAAGCCTCAAGAACATTACTTTCTCAACTGGGTGGAGTAGACATGTGTGTGCGAGTGTGCAACGCATGTGTGTGGCTGTGCGCCTGTTTTCCACATGTGAACCGCAACGTTTTACAAACATATGAATAATTTAAATATATATGTATGTATATATGTAAATGTATTGTATATATGGGGAACCCTCTCAGTGCGGCTCAGCAGTACAATCCTGCTTGCGTCAAAGAAGATAAAGATTGAATATTTATATACATACGTGTTTTATATATGTATGAGATTATGTCAGCACATCGAATCAAATGTATTATGCAGTATTCTTAAAGCAAATGCAGCCACCAGCCAGCAGGAGCAAGTAGTTCAGGCATTGTCTTTGACATTTTTTCAAGCCATTATGAGGGCTAGAAAATAATCTAGGCTTGGTTTTAAATGTGCCTCATCGACTAATGTATTATTGACAGAGCCAACTGGGTCGTCAACCGGTTGGCCTACATACGACATCAAGCGAAAAATGGAAGAAATAAGAGTAAATAGTTTAGGTCTCTTGTGACTAATGATGCTAGGCCCAAACTGTTTTTTATACTGAGGATACACTTCACCCTTGTCCCCAAAAGTGTTATAAAAAATTTAAAAATAGAAACTGTAAGAAAAAAATACTACTGTGATTTATAGAGAATTATATACACACACATATATTCGAGTAAAAATGAGAGAGTTCACTTTGATTTATAGTGGCTTATATACATACATATACATATTTATACGTATTCGAGTGAATTTTATTCAGTAAATACTATTTTATAGTATATTCAGCTGATTGACTCGAACGTTTTCTCATATTTATTGAGTTGTGCTGTTGAATTGAAAATTTGCTCCTTTAAAAACATTTCGCCTTCTGCGCTAGTGGAACAAATGATTGCTCAGTAATTCTCAAAGCATATTTACTATGCAATGATTGATTCTGCTGCACATTTCTGCTCAAATTTAGTGATCCAGCCTGGCCTGAGATGAGATATATGTTTGCTCACACGAGGACCTTATCGACTCCATGTGCAGCGCCTTGCACAATTCATTTTACATTCGACAATTTCCAAATATCCGTGGAGCTGCTACTTGTGCGACGTCAGCCAACAGGCATCAGCATCTGGCATCTGACATCAGGCATCAGGCATTCTGTTAGCTCCACTTTAGTTGTCTCGTCTATTTGCTGTAAGCTGCAGAAATCCATTCACCCTGGACTAGCAGTGTCAACAGCCAAGTCGCTGCTTTGGGACAGCCAAAGCGCGATTGAATGGTCTCGAAGCCGATGGGATTCGATGCAGAGCAAAAAAAAAAAAAAAAAAAAAAAAAGAGGAAGAAGAAGAGAAAAAGCAAGCAACTGTCATCGGGAATTGTCGAGTCAATGGGGCAGAAGAAATTGATTTGTTTTGATTTATTCCCATGTACTTGGAAACATCAGCTTCCACCAGGGTTCCAGATCTAGCTCTGGCTCTGGCTCTGGCTCTTGCTCTGACTCGGGCACGGCCTCGACTCGGGCTCGGGCTCATCTGTCCGGGCATCGCAGTAGCTGGCTTTGACGCTGCCCTTGTCCTGTTTGTCTCCTTCTGATGCTCATGCAAAACTCGTGTTGATTTCCTTCTTTGGGACTGTGTCGAGTTCGCCCCGCTCGCTGCGAGAGCGTCTGAGCTTGTAACTTCTATATTTTATTGTCCCATTTGACTTGCTTAATAAATGGGAATGTCCCACTGCCGCCGCTGTCGAACAAAGCCCGGGGGCAGCGTTGGGATGGCGACATTCTTCTCCTGCGGTCCCGAACCAATAAAACTTGATATGTATCTGGTATGGCTGGCGCCCAGTCAGTTCTGTGTGCTGAACAAATAAATCTAATTAAATGAAATTTAATATTGCTCATTCATATTTGGAGGGGCCAAATAATGTCGATTGCGCAGCAGTTTCGGGCCATCAGAGCCTAAATGAGCCCAATAACAAAATCCATCCGGAAGAGTATTCATTCTTAAATAGCCTAAATATGATCCCCAAATCCTAATAATAATGAAATGATTTTCACTTTCCGTTCCCCAGTGCAAATGTTGACTGTGGAATTACATCAGGTCCTAGTCTGATGCTAGTTAATTCACAGATCAGCGGAAATAAGTTGTTCATTAAAAATGTGTGCAGCAGCACAAGCAGAACAGACGTAATGAAGAAAGCAGACAAAAGTGAAAGAGAGTAAAGTAAATTGTAAAATGTAGACATCTTATTTTCTCTTTTTCGCTGACGCTGGCATTGTTTTCAACATTGGTTTTGGTTTGGGGTTTGGGGTTTGGGTTTGGTTTTGTAGTGGACCCCGGTCTAATCCTGAGGAAACAAAAGTTTATGACATTTTACGAGCTTTTTTAATACTTTGTGAAAAGTTTGCACATCTCCATCCGTCCGCCGCTTATCCATCTTTAAGCTCTGCAGCTCGCCGGAAACAAAAACAGAATTTATGAACCTGTTTTGTCATATATGGATGGCTGAGCGGCTGAAAGCCGGGCCATGTGCAGCTGGACATACACATACACATACATATACATATACATTTATGCATACATACATAAATATATATAAATATATGAATGTGTGTAGTACGTATTTAACTCACTGTAG